TATAATAATTACCCAACTATGTGCTATTTTTGTTATATAGTTTATGTAGACATTTATTATATTTAGGGGAAAATATATATATACCTAGAGTACCCACTGCCATCGAGTCGATTCCGACTCAAAGCAACCCCACAGGGTTTCCAAGGCTGTAAATCGGCACGGAAGGAAACTGTCACATCTTTCTCCTGAGGAGCTGCTGGTGGTTTCGAACCACTGTCCTTTTGCTTAACAGTCGATTGCTTTAACCACTGCGCCACCAGGGCTCTTTTATATATTTATTTATTTATTTATTTATATTTATGTTTATATTTATATATATAAGAGCCCTGGTGGCGCAGTGGTTAAGAGCTCAGCTGCTAACCAAAAGGTTGGCAGTTTGAGTACACCAGCTGCTCTTTGGAAACCCTATGGGGCAATTCTACTCTGTCCCATAGGGTTGCTATGAGTAGGAATCAACATGATGGCAATGGTATATATATATACATATATGTAAGTTCCCTGATCTTGTTGGGGGTAACAACTTTGCTGTGTTGTTGTTTGTTGTTGTTAGGTGCCATCAAGTCAATTCCAACTCATAGCAACCCTATGTACAACTGAACGAAATACTGCCCGGTCCTGCCCAATCCTCACAATCCTTGCTATGTTTGAGCCCATTGTTGCAGCCACTATGTCGATTCATCTCATTGAAGGTCTTTCTCTTTTTCACTGACCCTCCACCTTCCCAAGCATGATGTCCTTCTCCAGGGACTGGTCCCTCCTGATAACATGTCCAAAGTACGTGAGATGAAGTCTAGCTATCCTTGCTTCTAAGGAGCACTCTGACTATATTTCCGACACAGACTTGTTTGTTCATCTGGCAGTCCATAGTATATTCAATATTCTTCACCAACACCATAATTCAAAGGCATCAATTCTTCTTCCGTCTTCCTTATTCATTGTCTAGTTTTCCCATGATTGGGTCAGGAGTGCCTTGGTCCTCAAGCTGACATCTTTGCTTTTCAACACTTTAAAGAGGTCTTTCATAGCATATT